AGCCGCTGCTGCAGCAGCAGCAGCGGCAGCTTGCCTCCACCCGTCTCGTCGACAGAAGACAGCGTCCCAGAAGGGAAGCGAGGTGCGGCTGAGGCAGAGGCCACGATACCAACCCCCACATCGTGGTCAGGCGATGGCGCCCCAGTGGGGATCGAGAGGAGATCGCCTGCAGTGTCCGGTGTACAGCTCACACGTACGTTCCCCCCCTTCTGCTGTACCAGCAGGCCAGAGGAAAGGAGCGGGAAGTCACTGCGGAGACGGCGGAGGCCGCGGAGCACCCCACTCTGGTCAAACTGTCCGTCAGTTGTCCTCTGCTCCAGAGTGGTATGGGGGGGAGTCACGGCGGAGACGGCGGTGGCTCGGGATGTCGACCTTGGCGGCAACGACAGACGTCCAGTTTCCGACCAGTCACACTAACGATTCCCCCCTCCATCTGTGACAACAGGCCAGAGGAATGGTGCGGGGAGTCGGCGGAAGCGACGGGGGCTGCGGAAGCTGCTGAGCACCCCCTCTGGGCCCTCCGTCTGTCTGCCGTCCTCTGGCTGTGCCCCTCTCTCAGCAAGGAGACCACGGGACAGCCTCCCAGACACAGGACTGCGCAGCCTTTCGCTGGCCCCTACTGGCCCATACGGGAGTACAGCCACTGATGACGCCGCAGTCCTGCACAACTGTTACTTCTTTGGCAGGCTCCTCCTTCCCACGGCGGGCCCGGCCCACTGCTGGGCGGCGCCGCGCGCCGTCGACATACCGACTTTGAGCGCTGGGTCCTCGACAGGCGGTGTCACTGCCTGGCTCCTCCTCCCCTTTGTATTCACATGTCCTGCGGCTATCGGCTGCGCCTCCCCCTCTTCCCTCCTGACACCCTCGACGACAGCGGTGGCGGACCGACTACGTGCGACGTTCACAAGGCACGCTCCACAGGCAGGAGCCCCCACGGGTCAATGCCGCCGAGGTGGCCGTTTCTCGTCATTCCGACTTCGCCATGTTGGGTCCTCGACTGCCGGTGTCGTGCATCACGGACCCTTAATATTCAAGTGGAGATTGGGAGGAAAACGGACGCTCAAGGACACGAGAAAACGAACGGTGCCGTCGTCGACGCCGGCCCGACGCCGACGCCGACGACGCCAGCGGCGACGACGTTGACGCCGACAGCGACGACGCCGACCCGCTGCAGCACCACAGCTGCCGCAGCCGCTGCTGCAGCAGCAGCAGCGGCAGCTTGCCTCCACCCGTCTCGTCGACAGAAGACAGCGTCCCAGAAGGGAAGCGAGGTGTGGCTGAGGCAGAGGCCACGATACCACCCCCCCACATCGTGGTCAGGCGATGGCGTCCCAGTGGGGATCGAGAGGGGGTCGCCTACAGTGTCCGGTGTGCAGCTCACACGTACGTTCCCCCCCGTCTGCTGTACCAGCAGGCCAGAGGAAAGGAGCGGGAAGTCATTGCGGAGGCCGCGGAGCACCCCACTCTGGTCAAACTGTCCGTCAGCTGTCCTCTGTTCCAGCAAGACAGTGGTATGGGGGGGGTGTCACGGCGGAGACGGCGGGGGCTCGGGATGTCGACCTTGACGGCAACGACAGACGTCCACTTTCCGACCAGTCACAGTAACGACTCCCCCCTCCGTCTGTGACACCTGGCCAGAGGAATGGTGCGGGGAGTCGGCGGAAGCGACGGGGGCTGCTGCGGAAACCGCTGAGCACCCCCTCTGGGCCCTCCGCCCGTCTGCCGTCCTCTGGCTGTGCCCGGTGCCCTTCTCTCAGCACGGGGACCACGGGACAGCTTCCCAAACACAGGAAAGCGCAGCCTTTCGCCGGCCCCTACTGGCCCATACGGGAGTACAGCCACTGATGACGCTGCAGCCCTAAGTGGTACTTCTTGGGCAGGCTCCTCCTTCCCACGGCGGGCCCGGCCCACTGCTGTGAAGGGTGTCCCCCCAGCTCCTGCGACGGAGTCCCGACGTCCGACGGCCTTGCCCTGGCGGCGCCTCCCCCCCACCAGGCGGCGCCACACGCCGACGACATACCGACTTTGAGTGTTAGGTCCTCGACAGGCGGTGTCACTGCCTGGCTCCTCCTCCCCTTTGTATTCACATGTCCTGCGGCTATCGGCTGCGCCTCCCCCTCTTCCCTCCTGACGCCCTCGACGACTGCGGTGGCGGACCGGCTACGTGCGACGTTCACGAGGCACGCTCCACAGGCTGGAGCCCCCACGGGTCAATGCCGCCGAGGTGGCCGTTACTCGTCAAGGGCATGTTTCACCGCAGTGCGGCTCCAGCCTAATACCTTTGAGTCACCTCCTGGGGGCGAGGTGTACCTCTCACAGCAGTGCGCATAGATCCCACTATGGTGCGTGGGTCTGCCCGGGCGGCACTCCATCCGCGGTGCGCAGGTGGTCCACCTGTCCGCAGTTCCCCCCTGACGTGCCTCGGACGCTGGTGATTGTGAAGTGGTTCCACACGACTTTTCCCCCTTCCCGGTGGGTGACAGTTGCCACGTGGGATTCACGCCATGTCTACCGTCGCCTGAGTCAGTGGAGTTTTCCCTTCGAGCACGCGGTGCTCAGTGAGTGAGGCCCCCCCTTTTTCCTCTTCCGTTTTCTGTCGCCCCTTCCCGCGCCGCCCGGCTCTCTGGTCGCCTCGCTCCTCATCCCTTGCCTCTGCTCTTCCTTCCAATTTGTACTGCGTGTGCACCAATCATCTGGCTCTGTGCCCCAGTTTGCCCGATCGACACGCCCTCTGGACTTTTCCCTGCGGGCCGCTGAACAAAAAAATATCCCCACCAGTTCCTTCTCCGGGTTCCCCCCGGGCCTTTCGCTGTCTTGCGCCTCGGGAGCTGGCGCCACTGTGCGACCTTCCGCTGCCGCTGTCCCGCTCACGCTACTGTGCCTCTCTTAAATATCTGGCGTGTTTACTCATGCTCTTGCTTGCACTTCGGCGCTGGCTTTTGGCCCGCTGGTAATTATCTGGCGTGTCACCCCATGCTCGATACTACCCGCTCTCTGGAATCGTCCTTGGAGCCGCAGATCAAACAAGTATCCCCACCAGCCCATCCAGAAACGATGTCCAGGCAAGTTGAAGAGATCAGGGAAGTGGGGGAGCATCGAGGGGGACAGCCGATCCGTGCAAAGGACGAGGCGGAAGAGGAGGCCAGATGGATAGATGAGGGGGTGGCGAGGAACCGAGCGAAGGAGGGATGAGGAGAATTATGACGCTGGGTGGATGGTTGAATGCCGCTCGGCTGCCTCTTGGAAGCCTTTTTTTGGAAGCCTCTTCGGGCGTTTTGGGGGTCTCTTGGCGGTAAATGGGGGGCTCTCGGGCGTCTTGGGTGTTTCGGGGGGGGCCTCTTGAGGCCGTTTGGGGTCCTCTTGGGGGGCTCTTTGGGGCCAGTTGGAGGCCTCTCGGGGCCTCTTGGGGGTCTCTTGGAGCTTCATGGCGGCCTCTTGGAGCCTCTTGGAGGCCTCTTGGAACCATCCTGGGAGCCTCTTGGAGCCTCTTGGGGGTTCCTTGGGGCCTCATGGCGGCCTCTTGGGGCCATCTTGGGGCCATCTTGGCGCCTCTTGGGGCCTCCTGGGCGCCTCTTGGGGCCATCTTGGAGGCGATCGATCAAAGAAGAGGGTGGGGTGAATTAGCCCTGCCCCCCCAAGAGGCCAAAAGGGGGCCAAAACCTTAGTAAAAGCAGTGATGTTGGTTTCCTCGCCGAGGCCGTTTCGGACGCTCTAACTACCAGCGGCCCCCCCCGTCCAGGTCCAGGGGAGGGGGTTAGGGGGAGGGGTCAACCCCTCCCCGAAGGGGAAGTGGAAGATGGAAAAGGAAATTCCCGGAACCACCTACGCCCAAAGGCTGGTGGGATTCGGAAACTCGGCGCCGAGTCGCTTTGGGGGCAGTCGTCCATCTACGCGCTCCCATGATTCCAAATAGTGAGAAAACCATAGGTCGCCAGATTCCATAGGGAATCTTGCGGCCATGGTTTTTTTCACATTTGGAACTGGCGAACTATGGGTTTCCCATAATTCAGAGCCCGGACCGAGCTCGCCGCCACGAATGATGAGAAACCTACAGGTCGCCAGATTCCCTCGGGGTTTCTGGCGACCCATGGGTTTTCCATAGTCTGGAACCTGGACCCCGCTCGCCGCCGCGAGTTACGGCAAACCCACAGGGCGCCAGATTCCTTGGGTTTTCTGGCGACCCATGGGTTTCCCATAATTCGGAAGCTCGGCGCCGAGTAGCCCTTAGGGCAGTCTTCGGCCTGTGTATTTTGGGAAACCCATAGGTCGCCAGAACCCCCTAGGGAATGTTGCGACCTATGGGCTTCCCATAAGTCGAATTGCGGCAAACCCGTAGATGGACGATTGCCGGAGGAGGCGGTGGAGGAGGACGACGACGACGACGACGACGACGACGACGACGACGACGACGACGACGACGACGACGACGACGACGAGGCGACGACCAGTAGAGGTTCGGACGGACGGCAACGATCAGAGAAGGAAGAGGTGCCCTGAGATCCTGGCGCTGCAGTTTGGAAATACACGGGTTTCCGCCCGGTTTCGGGCCCAGGGACCCTCACCGCTGCTCGTCCTGGAGAGTTCTCGTCGCCACGGCGAAGTTCGCCTCGAGATTTGGTCAGAACGTACCCCGGGAAAGGTCGGGGGAGTAGCAGTATCAGTACCTCCTTGTCCCCCCGAGAAGCGTGGGGGGATCGAGGACTGCCAGGACGTGAATCGACCAAGGGGCCTTGAGTGGCTCCCCACACCTCTACCGCGGGCCCGAGGGGTGCACCAGAGGTACACGTGTCTTCACCCACCCTTTATTACACCCGACGGGCGAGCGACGCATCAAAAACACGTTCGATTGCTGCGACATTGGCGTGTAAGCTCCCCGCGGAAGGTCGCGCCTGAGCGCCCTCGTTTCCAACGTAGCGTGCCGCGCTGGCAGCCCGCGCAAGCCACCGCGCAAGGTCGCGCTATGCCATCTCGCGCAAGACCCGTTTCCTCTCGTCGCTCAGGCGCTGTGGCATCGTCACGTTCCACCTCGGCGCCCAGGGGCCCCCCGCCGCGGAGCTCAAGAGAGCACTGATCGAGCGCGGCGCCTTCGTGTCCACGTCGCCGCCCGCGTCCACGGCGCTAGACGCCCAGGCGCGGGGGCTGCCGGAGCTGCTGCGCGCCTCCGTGCACTACGTCAACACCGAGGAGGATAGTAGGAGGATAGGAGGAGGAGGAGGAGGAGGAGGAGGAGGAGGAGGAGGAGGAGGAGGAGGAGGATAGGAGGAGGAGGAGGAGGAGGAGGAGGAGGAGGCGGAGGAGGAGGCGGAGGAGGAGGCGGTCCCTGACGCTATCCTTGGCTCATGCTTGTTTTGGTCACAGAGAGCGGTGTAAACATAAACTTTCGGAGTTCCGCGTAGATTTCTTGGATTGGCGTTGTGTCCTCATGGCTGCGCCTCCGGCGCCGCCCCTGGCGCGCTGCGCGTGCCGGGGAGGGGGCCCTGGAGCGGATCCAAGACATCCGCGCGGAGCTCCGACAGTTCATGTTCATGTTGTTTCTTGTTGTTCGCAGTGTTTTGGCCTCCTGGGAGGCCCTCGTCACGTCGACTGGTCAGACAGCGCCCCTGGTGATGTCCGCGGAGTAGCGTTATGGTCCTCTTTTGGTTTCCCCAGAGGAGGTGGGCCGCCTCGTCGAGTTGGTGTCCGAGTGCGCGCGCCACTGGCGCGCCTCGCGCTAGTAACGCGTGCGCGCGCTGGTCGCGCGCCGCCCACTGCGCGGGGCAAATCGCGCGGTCGACCGCGCGCTCCCAAGCTTCTGCCCAGAGGCTCGAAGCGGGTCCATGATTAGGGAGCTGGTGTGAGATATAGTGGCGGCGGGGTCTGGCCGACCGGTGTTTCGGGGAGGGGCTGGGGGCTCCCAAGCTTATCCTCAGAGGCTTGAAGCGGGTCCATTGGGAGCTGGTGCGAGGGGCGTGGTAGCGGCAGGGTCGGGGCCACCAGTGTTTTGGGGAGGGGCTCGGAGCTCCCAAGCTTATGCCCAGAGGCTCGAAGCGGGTACCCAGGGAGCTGGTGCGAGGTTGGAGCGTGGTGGCGGCGGGTTCGGGGCAACCGGATTTCTGGGGAGGGGCTTGGGGTTCGCAAGCATCTGCCCAGAGGTTGGAAGCGGGTCCCCAGGGAGCTGGTGCGAGATTGGGATAGATTGGGGCGTAGCGGCGGCGGGGTCGGGGCAACTGGTGTTTTGGGGAGGGGCTGGGGGCTCCCAAGCTTACACTCAGATGCCCGAAGCGGGTCCCCAGGGAGCTAGTGCGAGGTTGGGGCGTAGCGGCGGCGCGGTCGGGGCGCCTCTGGGGTCGGCGATCTCATGCTTATTGCTGTGTGTTTGACTTTCTCCACGGTGAATGGTGGGCGCAAGATTGGCTGCCTACAGTGCCGCTTTTAAGACATGCTCCGCGTGCGGATCATGCATTAAAAATGTAGGGATTTCGTATCAAAAGCAACGATGAGTTCATGCATACATTTACTCATAAATTAATCATGTATTAAAAAACCTATATTTCATTACAAACAAATCCCATGTATTAAATCCTGCCCTGTAGGCCCTCGACCCCGACCTTTCCATCAGAGGCAGGCTCGGTTGCGCCCTCCGCTCTGAGGCCGTGCGGGCCGCGGGGGCGCTCCTCGGAGGCACGGGGGGGGCGAGGGGCGTCCTCTGCCGGCCCAGAGCGCCCAAAAGCTTCGAGTCATCGACCACTGACCCCAGATCCTAGGTCGTCGACCCTGGATCCCAGATCCTCGATCCTCGGCCCTGGATCCTGGATGTCCTCGATGTTCGACGTAGGCCATCCTCCCAGCGCGTTTGGCCGCAACTCCTGGGAAGCTGCATTCATCGTCGGCGCTGGTGTGTCCTCGATCGAAAACCGATTCAATCAGGCTTAACTCCGCTCAGTGTGGCTTAGGACCTGGCCTTATGTGGTTTAATAGCCTCTCATCTTGCCTAATATCTTTTAATTGCGAGGGCATCCCACCAGACGTTGCTTCCTTTAAACGCGGGCGCCAAACCCCCGGGCGGGGGAGTGACGCAAGGAGGAAGGTCCAGGAAGGGGGAGCGGTCCGTTGGGGGGAGTCGTGGGTCGTAGCCTCACCGCGAAGCCTCCTCGGGCCTGAGGAGGCCCCACTGGAGGCTCGCGGAGGCCTTGATCTGCGCCGCGCCAGAACGGGAGGCGGCTGGCTGGCTCGAAGAGGGAACAGCAACAGGTCTGCGCAGATGTTTTGGATCTGCGCTGGAACTCCTGGCCGCCCCTGGCGCGCGCCAGAGGGAGGGGGGGGCCCATCGCCGACCCATGGATCGCGCGCGGTCCTCCGAAAGTGCATGTCTGTGCAGTTTTCTGTGCCGACGCGGGTGGAAGATGTGCTGATGCATCCACGCCACCCCTTCTGCGTCCACTCACGGGCGTTTCCCATGCCATCTTGCTGGCTCTTGGCAACCGACGCTGACTCGGCGCCAATTCGGCGCTTCCCCATCGATTGCCAGACGCCCGGCGCACGCCAGTGCACTCTACGGACGGATTGCCGAGGGCATGCAAGGCTCCCATGATCTGCTGCCGAACACTCCCGGGGGCGCGAGTGCAGTCGCGAGCGGTGCCGTCGCCAGCGCGCTCGCGCGGCTCGCTCGCCGCTCGGGCCCGCTCGGGCGGCGGTGCGCACTCCGTCGCCCGTCGAGAGCATGCCGATGACGGTCGCGGCCTGGGCCGGGCAGCCCCCGAGGTCTGGCCGACGAGGAGGAGGACGACGAGGACGACCAGGACGACGGCCAGGACGACGACGAGGGCGATGACCAGAAGGTGCTCGGGCGGACGGCAACGGTAAGGGGAGGAAGAGGTATCCTGAGTCCTGGGCGCTGCACTTTCCTCACGCCCGGCGTTTCTGCTCTTTTTGTCGGGCCCCAGGGGCATCACGGCGCGAGGTCGCGAAGGGTGAGCCGCGGGCCGCGCATCGTTGGCCGCGACGCGCGAACTCACGTGGCCTCTCTCTCTTCTCGTCTCTCTCTCTCTCTCTCTCTCTCTCTCTTATATATATATATATATAGATACACATGTGCATCTGTGTTCTAGGCCTCCTAGATGGGTTCGGAGTAGACGGGGTCGGAGGATCGCGCCGCATCGCCGATGTATCGGCGATGCGGCTCGATGTCGAGCCCGATTTCTCCACGACGACGTCGCCCATGCGTCGTCGATGCATCGCCGATGTATTATCGATGCGGCGCGATCCACCGACCCCATCTACTCGGACCCCTTCTGGGAGGCCTCTGTAGACGCACTGTGCCGCTACCGCCCGCGGTCGAGACGGAAGGGCGGCAGGAGCCCCTCCGATGATTCGGCCGAGAGCACTCCCGGGACCGGCGCGAAGCGGACCTCCCCGTCCCGCGTGACTCGGCATGCCATCCCCGCTCGGCCACAGCCCCCCACCAGCCCACCCTCCTTGGCAGGGATGGGCCCCGCGAGACCTTGAGGAACTGGCAGACAACGGCATCCCCACCTGAGTGGGGAACTCCAGGCCTCCCAGATGGGATCCGAGTAGATCGGGTCGGAGGATCGCCCCGCATCGCCGACGCATCGGCGATGAATCGGCGATGCGGCTCGATGTGGAGCCCTATCTTTTCCACGCCGACGTCGCCGATGCATCGCCGATGCATTGCTGATACATCGGCGACCCGGTGCAGCCCTCCGACTCCGACCCCATGTTACTCGGACACAATCAGGCGGCCAGTGGCCAGGGCCACTCCAGTGGTCGCCCTCCTGCGTGGCCTCCGCGGCGACGCAGGCTGCCGCCCCGGGGCCATCACAGGTCGGTCCGGCTCGAAGAATGACGCAGAAAGAGGGGGTGTGAAGTTGCCGGTCGTGACGCCTCGTGGCGTGGAGTAGCGTCTTCTCCGCAGCGCCGGATCTCAGGGGCTGCTCCTCTCTTGGGGGCGGCGCGAGGGCGCGGCGGGTACGCTGCGGGCCGCGCATGGGCGGGCCGCGACGCGCGAAGCCGCGGCGACGCGTGCGTTCCGCCCTCCCCGTCTCGAGGGCAGCCCGCGCGCGGCGGGCGCGGGCGCGCGCGGCGCGGAGGCGGCCGGCGCGCGCGATGCTGCCGCCGCCCGTGTCTCCCGGCGCCATGGGCCTGGGGTCGCCGCCGGCAGGTCCGCCGGCCGCCAGCGCGCGCGCGCGCCGCGGGCTGCACGCTGGCGCCCGCGCCCCCGGCGGCCGTGGGTCTGCTCTGCCCCTCGGTGTCTCCTCCCCCGCCCTCGTCGGGTACGTCTCGCTCGTGGTCTCCGTGGCGGCCAGGGAGGGGAGGGTGACGTTTCATGCAGCCGGCTGCGTCGAATCTCTCGTTCTCGTCCTTGTCCTCCCCCCTTCCCTGCCCTGCCTCTCGCTTCCGTCTCTCTCTCTCTCCCTCCCCTGCTCCCTGCGCGGACCTCCCTCCCTCCCTCCCTTTCGGTCCCTTCCCCATGTTTCTCCACCTCCTCCATCCTCCATCCACCCCTCCTTCATCCTTACCTTCCTTTCTCCGCCGCCCCTCCGTTCTCATACTTCACCTTGAACTATCCAGGCAGGCGGGGCCAGCGACCGCTGCACGAAGCAAAAAGGGAAGCACGGTTGAACAGGCCAATCACGCTAGTCCACTGGCGCGCAGAGGTTTGGCGGGCCAGCCTTAGATCAACTAGCGTTGTCTGGGCACGGCCTCGACATGAGGCCCTGATGCAAGCAGCGGAAGGCTCGCGGCGGCCTGCAGCTTGGACCAGGGCTGTGGTGCTGGCCGCCGTCCAGAGTCCATTTCGATCCGATCGGTCCGATTCGAGATCGATTCCTGCCAGCCCGATCCGATTCGATTCCGATCATTCCGACGATCCGATGCAGCTCCACATTCGTTAGCCCAAGGCCCAGGCGTTCGCACGTGCTGAGCTGCCCCTCCGGGCCTCCCCTTGCTAGATATGGATGAGCGCCATAGCTGCTGATGGCCCCTTCCTTCTGGCGGCGGCTGTGCAGGCGTCGATTCAAGAATACGCGCCGAGGCGCAGCGTTGCTGCTGTGGTTGCTGCGGTAGCGGGCGCTGTGATGCATGCGGTTGCCCGGCCCCCTGCGCCAGCGACTCTGCACAAGGAACGAATTCAAGATGCATATGGCAAAGCTGAAGAATCCGATGATCCTGCCAGACGGCCAAGCAGGCGTTGACAGCCATAGATGGTCCAGCCTCTGTTCTTCGTGATGGTTTTCGGCTTCGCGTTGAGGCCATTCCGCATCTAGCAGGTGCAGCTGGCCAAGGCGCACACCTCGGGGAAAGTTTAGCTGCGGAGCCCGCTCTGGCAGGTGCTCTACGTCTGGGCCGCTCTCGTTCACCCCCGCATCCCGGACGCACCCCCTCCGATCAGCGCGCCACCAGTTCAGCTCCGCCTTGGCGGGCGAAGTGCGACGAGCTGAGACAGCAGATCGGGCGACCTCTTGCCGCGCTCTGAAGAGATCTCTTGCGCTCTGGGGAGATGTATTGCCGCGCTTTGGGGAGATCTCCATGGAAGTACACCTTCTTCGCGCGGCTCACGATGATGATGCCTACGAGGGCGGGTTTCGGATCGATCACGGCGTCGATCGACCACACTTCGATGCAGATGCCCGCCAGTGCCTCCAAAGATGGGGGGCCTCCTCCAGGTTGCCAGGGCGCCGCGCACCCGCGCGAACAGGTACAGAAATCGAATGACGCGCGAACGCTGCAGACGAGCGATGGGGGCGTCACATTCGGCCGAACCGTCGACGTCGTAGGCACAGCCCCCGCGTGATTCCAGCCACGTCTACTCTTCGTGCCAATGGTCCA